AGTGAAAAAGCGTTGGAATAAAATGGCGCAAGGAATCGTGCAACAAGGCGTTGCACTTCAAAAGTTGTATGTTTTCTTTCCCCTGCAACCCAATTTTTTACTCCTGCATGAATTTTCTAATTTTTTTTTTAAGTCCGGAGCAGGAATTGAATTAGCGTCGGTCAGTCGCTCGCTCCCTTATACACGATCCTTAATGTTTATTTGTTAAAATAATATTGCTAATACACTACTTTCTGCAACATAATAATGGAGTCTGTTGGTATATACGCCTTTTTCATATGTATATCTCCGGTTCATCCCGATAATAGTCGCCATATTTTTCTTCGAATGCCATCCCTCGCAACCACCCACTTCCTTCCTCCCCTATGCTCATTCTGCTATTGGTCTGGCCAAGTATGTTACGGATTGATTACTTCTTGACCTCCTTCCTTAAGCTCATGTCTTCAGGCGATGTACAATATTTACTTGTTCCTCCACGATTAAACTTCCACCTTCTTCCCTTTCTCGGAACATGGAGCGGGTAACTGGAATCGAACGTGTCACGAGACGAGTGACCCATCATCATCCTCCATTTGACACTGATGATCTGTTTCACTGCGTCTCTCTCTTTTTTTATGTCTAATGCTCAAAATTCCTATGCTTCTATGAGCGATTGGTGCTGTCCTCGATCCGAAGGTAGGAAGGATCCCTCAACATTTCGCGATCAGCGGAATGGAACTTCCAACAATTGTATTTTGGGAAAAAATAGTATTCGATTTTGCGTGTCCTCTGCAGAGGGCGGAAATGAGAGTGTTCGTCCGCGACGCTAGTGTAGGGCACAGAGATTCACGATTCTCCTGTCGCTGGATGCTCGCTAAAAACGATCCATAGAAACTTCCTATGGAGTGGGATCACAAAATTCAGTCTGAAAGTAGAGTGCGGTTCGTTACCAGGGGTCCATGAAACCAGCGGGCCTAAGCTTCTTGTGCAGAGCGCAACAGCGCAATCTCTAAAGGCTCCCTTATCGCGACTGCACCGCAGAGTTCGAAAATTAATGCAAATGAATGAATTTTGTTAACCTCTTCGGGACGGCATTCGGAACGAGCGTCACACATAGATGCGGATGGATCCGCATAAAAGTTAATTGTTAAAATATGGAGGGCTATACATTGACAGTAGTTTGCCAATGTTTTCATTGTTTGTGTAACGATGGAAATTCTCTGTTCCACCTAGCTTTCAGAGGCAAAGTTTAGGCATAGGTATACATGGCATGCATTTCTTTGCAAATAACATAAAATACGTGGTTCTTCGTGTCGTGTGTCGTGTCGTGTCCGCTAGGCCTGACAGCTTCTATTGGCATAATGAAGGCCTTTGTCTAGTCTAATGGGCTCAAAGTTTTAGTAAGACTGACAAGTTAATCTTTGCAGAAGCCCTGGGTTTCGTCAGCAAAAAAAAAAGTTCATACCGAAACAAGTCAAACAAATACAAAACACGGGTGGATATTCCTCATGAGGAAATTTCGCACTCAACTAAATCCACGTGGGTGGACCACATGCGTTCCGCACGAGTGGAAAGGGTGCACGTTTTTTTTTTTTTTTTAGAAGGGTTCGTTCCGAGGTAATGGAGAAGCAGAGCGTCCAGGAGAAACCTTGAAACGTTGACGAGAACTACAGCTATACGAGAGTAAACGGTATTTCAGTATTTAAGAAAGTTATGAGTAAGTTCCGGGAAATGTATGTAAATCGGAATGACCGTGAAACTGGACCCAGCGCATGAAGAACTATTTTTGGGAACGGATCCGATCCCGCGTCGGGATTTCGTGTCTCATTCCCTTCCGTCCCGAGGAAGGAAGAGGATCTGACCGAACCGGAGTGTGGAGATGTCGAGATGGGAAGGAGGCATCTTCAGACACACTGCTCAAGATGGGAGAGGTCGGGAACGAGTGGAGAGGCTGCAACTGTTGGAGGAGATGCAACGTGGTGTGCTACCGACGTAAGTACCGCGTGCACCAGATTTCAGTCTCGTCGGTGGCAAGCAATGCTAAAGAATTCGGAAGAAATCTTCCGGTTTTCATACTTGGGAATGAAATCGTGCCTATAGACATGATTTCGCTGCAAAGGAGAAATAAAAAAATTTCTTAAGAACATGGGGGGATAGTTCAAGGAAAAACAAGCGCTGGTCATGAGTTATCCTTTTGCGAATTTTGCTTTCGCGATTCAGAAAGATTTACCACCGGACTGACAACCGGGTCATAATCCATCCGTTAGTGGCCTAGGTCGTGAACAACGGGGCGCAAAAGGAAAAAAATTGTGACCAGCACCACCTTTTCCTTGAACGATCAAATGTCCTTGAGAAATTTTGATTGAAATTTGATTGAAATTGAACTATTGCCAGAATATGGGAAGAAAGTTTAAGTTATGAAGGCGTAAGACATGATGCATGCTCTGTGAACTGAAGTGTCACTAAATCGAAACGATTAGAACAGATAACTGGTGATAAGTGAAGCGCTGGTACGAGTTAATGGCCCTGATGTGTTACACCGGTTCATGTCATGAAGGTCATGCACGAAAATGCTAATATCTCTACTGATATTCAAGAACCCAGAATGGAATTTGCAGTGTACCTAGGTACATAATGGAGATCGGGGCAGACGATGTCCTAAAATTTTAGCGAAATCGATCGGCGCTTTTCGTCATGTAAATGTCAATATCTTTCTCATGTTTGGTCTGTTTCTACGAAAACCCCTCAGGAGTTCCCCCCCCCCCCCAGGGGGGGAAGGGCAAAAAGAAAAAAGGGAATGAAATTCACATCCTCCAAAAAAACGAGATTGAGTGTTCTCCACAACCCCGAGAAAGGAATGAGTATGCCAAATTTCGTTCCTCTTGATGCTCTCAGGGAAGAATACGAGACGGTTGAAATTTGCTGCAGCTTTTGTCCCGACAACGAGAAGTTTTTTCCGATCGTCCGTGCGTCCGCGTCGCGTGAATATGGAAGGAGAGAATCAAGTGTTGGATGCCAAATACGGAATTTCACGCGTGCGCCTAGCAACCCTGTCTACGCAGCCGCGAGGAGCCGCTCTCTCCCATCGTCTACTATCGATCCGTCATCCGCGAAGGATGGAAAGGAAGTGGATGTTTTAGCGGAAGACGGGCACCCTGACCCAGGTCGAAAGCTGCGCATGCGCAGTGTGTCGTATCGTTCCGGTTGCTCTGGACACTGCGCACAGACGGAATGAATAAAAAAAAGTGAGCGACCGATCGCAATATCTGCCATTTCTCCTTATTGCCGACGGGTATGGCAGATTTTTCGCAGAGTCCATCCATTCCCCGCTCGTCCGTTTCCGCAACCCGTGGAACCCCTAATGGAATTTTGCAGCCACGTGCCGAGACCGACCTGCTGAGCTTTCAAGCAAATTCAATTTCGAGTCCGTCCTTTTTTTTTCGTCGCAGAAAACGACGGAGAGGAAGTTCGCAATTCGATTTTGGCGGAATCGGATTAAGGCGCCGACTAGAAAATGAAGAGGTAAAAAAAGAAAGAGTTGTTTGTCTTCTGTGCTGTAACATTATAATATTTTATTATCCAGGGGGGGAGGAAAAAAAATTCGAGATGCAAAATCCATTAAAAATTGGAAAACATGAGAAACTTGAGAAAAGAAAAAAAAAATGAAAGTCTACGGGATCCCTGGGAACGATTCTATTAATATTTTTCCCAAATATATATGGATCGTGGTGCGAAAGGTATAATGCGTTCTTAAAACACAATCTGCGGTTGAATCTGGAGAAATTTCTGGTACTTAATTTCAATTCAGAATTGAGTAAAAGAGAAAGAGTTACGCAAAACGCGTTCGTAAACGAGGTCGTCCGGGATCGTCGGTGGTAGGCAGACGATAATATGGCAAAATATAAATAAGTAAAAAGAAAAAAGAAAACAGTATCTCAGATTTGTCCCAGAAATAATTTCCCACAAACGTGGGAACCCAGACTCGTGGAAATTCAATCATATTTTGTCGATGGGGCGAGGAAGAGCAATGGCGTAGGCAGGAAATTGGCAAGTTGAGGCCAGTTAGACACCCCAATCCTATGCTTAGCTCCACTATCCGGAATTTACCGTTTTGATGCTGTCAAGTTGACGGCATTGAAATGTTCCTCGATGTTGTCAAATATCTGACTGATATTTGTAAAATGTTGAACCGGGAGAGACTGCGTTAATCTCGATTCGGCGTATACCCCCGGGTGAGGTTTTCGTCCTGGCAGAAATGATGCATCGTTTGCGGCTGGTGGGCTCATCCCTGGTGATTCCAGGGATGACCCGAAAATTCACACTTTTCTGACTTCACAGGGCCGAATTTTTACAACGGTCGGATTCGGTCAAATCACAGCCGATCGATGGTGCTTAATATTTAGTATTTATTTAGCCGAAAGTTATATTCGGCAAGTGATGCACTCGCAACGAGCTTTTAGTTATTCCGGCTCTTCTTACTCGGCGTTTTACGAGTGCCAGCAAATTTTTGGGTCTCCTGCCCAATTCGCACGACCTTGCACCGAGCCACTTTGGCACAGATATTTTTTTTTTTTTGCTTGCGAGACTATGCGTCGGTTTGAGAGCTCGCAACGAAGGCGTGCCAGGGATTCCTTTTTCTCCATTGCTTCGCGGGAGCGCCACGGCCAAGTCCACGTTTTGGCCGCTGGGCTCAAATTTAACCACCAAACTCGGTTTCAATTAAAATCCACACCCGATCGCACGTTACTGGGCAGTCGGTGCGGCAGACTCGTTCCTTGGCACCGAATTCATTTTAGAGAGGTCTTAATTTGCTCCATTTGCCTCTTAATTGCCTCTTTCAACTGCTCGACCCCAAGTCGAAACGAACTTGGAGAAAGTAACCGCAACCGGTTGTGACTTCTTAAGATTGTTCGTTGAGGCGAAAAGTCAAAACCTTTTCGGTGAATCCAATGTCATCGGACTAACGACCATCGAAGCACCTATTAGTATCTCATAGCAACTACATTAAATATGCTGCACACTTTCAATAAAATAATCATTGATTTTTTTATTTTCAAACTAATGACATGGAAAATGAACACAAAACGACCAAATATAACGGGACAAGGAACCAAAATATGGAGCCTGATTAAAAACACTCCCATACCAATAATTACCAAATATCCATATTATGACTCGTTTTCCTCGTTCCAGATTGCTATCACAACGTTACTCTCGATTTGTGATACAGTGATTTCACGCAGTAATTGCATTCATCCATTCCAATCGTTTCAAAATGTAATGCCGAAAGGGTTACTCGATCTGAGGCACACCAACACCGGTGTCTGATACGTCTGGCAAGTCTCAGAAATTGCACAACGTTCAAGGGGGATATAAAGACCAAGAAATCCTCTTTAAAATGCACATGCAAAAAACGAACACGAGGTAAAAAGTGCGTGGAGCAAGGGAAAATAAGCTGCAGATGCATCAGAGGACAAAAAACATGGCAAGGTGAGTGCAGCCCGGTTAGCACCGAAGGGGACGACAATTACGCTCGTGCTTATTGTTGGATATACCGATATAATGGACTTTTGCAGATAATCGTTAAATAATTCCCGCCCCACTTACACTCGTTTCCGAGTTGTATTATTACTCCAAGGGAAAAACAAACTAAAAAGTAACCCCGTTCTCCCTCGGATACATACGACCCAGGAGAAAAATATCACAAACCCGCTGTGGGGAAGCACTTGCTATCGAACTTCCAACCGTTCCTTTAGAAAGGAAAAATAGTAACAACGACCGAGTCTAATGCTTCTCTCAGCTCGCTCCATACATGCGATTGATGTCGTCTTGATATCGATCTTGGATGGGTTTCCGGCGGAGCTTGAACGCTGCCGTTACCAGTCCCATATCTGGCGACCAGATTTCACTGCACAGCTTCATTGCTTGTGGGACTTCGAATCTCTCCAGGCGACCTAAGGGATGATCGAGAGACTGAGTCTTGCCTGAAATTCGATTGAATTATATTGCAGAAAACCAGTTTGGCAATGTTAATTACAGAACATTTACATGAAGGTCAGTTGAGAAGCAAGTCTCTTTTAAATGGATATACTAACAACGGTGCAATGAGAACAAATTAGAAAGTATCCACCCAGACCTCCATGAAAAGGCAAAATGAACTCAATTTCACTGAAAGGAGCCTACAATGTGAAAATTTTCATATCAGTTACAAATGAAACTTGCATGTTCTTGCAATCTCAGTTTTCTCCATTCCCATTTGTGCCTTTGAAACTACAGATGAAACAAAATACCCCCAGCGAACATTGAGGTCCAATTAGATGTTGGACGCAGGGCTTTAGTTGGAAAGGTCTAATTTCTTGGCTTCAGCAAACAAATATGGTAAACCAAGAAATAATACGTTTAAAACTAAACTCATTCAAAAACTGTCAAGAGTAAAAAAATAAAATAGGCAAAAGGGGGTTTTTGCTCACTCTTCTTGCCGTGGTTCTGGATCTCCTTGAGAACAGCATCTTCAATTTTCTTCTCCAAGCAGAGTTCCTCGAAGGATTTTTCGGGTGAGACTCCGACCGCAACGGCTATGTCTTTCAGTTTATCTGGGTTGGGGACCACCAGTGCGACGGTGAACATGTGGCGAGAGTCACCGTACACGCAGACGTTGTCCACGATGGGGCAGGTCTTCAGCTCCGTCTCCACCTTTCCCAGTGATACATACTCCCCAAATTGTAGCTTCACCAGGTCCTTCTTCCGGTCTGCAACGATACCAGCATGAATAAAGTCAGCCACCCCACTTCATACATGTATTAGCAAGTGAATTGCATGAGAAATCCCTATCATGGTTCATTATCTAAGACTGACATTTTCTCTCAAGCAAGAACTTAGTCTGTCAAAACGACAAACCCAGCTTCTTAAGCATACCGTACAACAGTACCAGCACGGCATCCTTAAATCAAAACGTGTTGAAGTTCCTTTTTTTCTTAAGTTCCTAAAAAGCAGTGAAATGATTATATGCACAGAAAGATTCATGAATGACAAGTGCAAGGACTCACCAATAACTCTGAGACATCCATCAGGTGTCATCTCACCAATGTCCCCAGTTCGGAACCACTGTTTCCCCTCGGCATGAAAGAAGTCCTCCTTTGTTTTCTCTGGCATCTTGTAATAACCCTGGGACACATTTGCTCCACCTGGAGGAGGGAATACCTTTTTTATTAGATGTAAAAATAAGCAGCATTTACTCAATAGTGTATATTTAAAAACAAGCCCTTACTCTTAAAAATGATTATGAAATGATTAAAAATGAAATAATTTTGATACAGCCAGGAATAGCATTATCTGGTGCTAATAGTTAAGGCAAATAAATAAATATATATATATATTGAAAGGGTTTACCATATGGCCACTTGTGCATTTTCTCCTTCACATTCATCTCTTTTTGCATGAACTCGACATAAAAGCCAACAATTTTTCAAAGCTTATAGTCAAAACATCCATTGTATCTGATGCTTGGCTGCCAATGCAACCATTGCACGCACAAGATCTGAAGTTCCTGCTCCAGTATAAGGACCTCATGAGTAAAATGAAATAATAAAAAAATGATTCATGTAATATTTATATTTAATAACTGCATCGCATAAGCAGCAAAAGGGTTACTCAATCCCCAATAAAACCCTAGTTTAATTCTATTACAAAAGTTGGCAAAAAAAAAGACAGACCGATGATGACTTCGCCCCGTGGATTGGGTTTGTCAGTGATACGGTAGTTCCCCTCCTCCCAGTTGACCATGCGGATGTCACAGCAGGGCAGTGGACCGCCAACTAAGCCAGTGGAGTTCTCACCCCCTGCAAACAAAATGCCCAATATGACTGCCTGATCCTCAAACGGGAAGGTCCCATTTGCCACTGTTTCCTGAAATCCTCCTTTTTTTCCGTCTATTAATTCATAGAATATTTTTAACTTTACTTGTTGCACTGGTAGAAAATGCTACCTCATTCCTTTTTACCTGTAACTTGCTAAAATTAGAACTACGTTCACTCGAAAGTAAAGTCTGTATACTGCAAGTGATGGTTTCATTTGGAGGAAACAACATCCACCATTCCAGGCAAAGACCCCACACTTCAAGGGAAGCAGTCCTCTCTCTGCAAATCGGGCCCAAAAATGAATCAAGAAACTTCGACTGCAGGACTTACACGCCATCAACGTGGCACAGGCAGAGGTCTCCGTCAGACCGTATCCTTGGATGACGGGGCAGCAGAGACACGTGCGGATGAAGTCGTGGGTCTCGGGGCTGAGCGGTGCCCCGCCACAGGCAATCCCTCGCACCCGCCCGCCAAGGATCTCGCGCACTTTCCGGAACACCAGCCTGTAAAGCAACATGCATCTGTGACTCCTGATACCAAAATTTTCAAATCCACATTAAAATAGACATTCAGCCCCTCAGCTTCCTGCCAAAAAATTACTTTCTACATCCACAAATTTTTTTTATTAATCAAATGCTTATTTGCGATCGAATACAAAACCAAAGTAGAAGGGAAAAGCATGTTAAATGAAATCTGCTACTCCATTAAATGAAAACATTTAAGATACCTATTGAGGAGAGGCGTGTCCCATCCATGCTTGGCCCACTCGGACTTGTAGTTGCAAGCAAACCGGAATAGTGCCTTCGTTGTTGCACTTCCTTTTTCCACCTTATCCGTGATCGACTTGTAGATCCGGTCCAGGATCAACTGCAATGAAAAAAAAACTTATAATTTTTACAAAATAAAGATTAAAATTTTTATTCACCATTTCTTTCCTAGCAGTGAATTCCTCATGCACTACTGAAACCCCCACCTTTTTAAAAAAAAAAATGCAAGTCAACCAACCGGGACGGCCGCGATGAGCGTCGGCCGGAGAACGGAAGCGTCTCCCTTGCAGCCCGTCATCACCTTGGACGACGTGTCGGTGATCGTGAGCGGAGTGGAATACCCGATGGAACAACCGCAGATCATCATCACGCTCTCTGAAACAACCGATGCAAAAACATACGTGAGTGCGAGTTGGGAAGTTGCTCCTCCATGAGGTACAAGAGCTTCACTGAAACTGCATGCAAATGTGACCAGACTTCGATTCTGATCGGCGAACCACCCAACCGAGACTGTTTCACATCAGTGAACAGCAATTGCTTTTCTGCACAGTACTTTCCCAGCTGACCAAGTGGGATGTATCCCACCATGGCATTCAAGAATTGCAGTAAGATTCACCTACAAGGTTTCATTGCCAGAATATTCAGGTCAAAACCTATCATGCATCAACTTTAATGCTCCATTTTAGCTTTGAAATTTCACATTCCAGGGAAAGTCATATCGATAGGATTCCACATAATGAAACTCGCCACCAAGGCTATTCATCAAGTTTCAGGAAATTCCTTAACCTCAATATTCACAAGAAATAAGATATTTTATCATCCCAACACACCAGCAAGGAGCTCGAGCACATGGGCGAGGGGCAGGAAACCCATGTATACATCGTTGGGGGCGAGGTCCATGACCGTGGCGAATCCGTAGAGGGCAGCCGTGAGGTTGGTGTGGCTCAAGAGCACTCCCTTGGGCACTCCCGTGCTCCCACTCGTGTACATGATGATGGCCACGTCCTCTGGCTTCGGTGGCACAGGAGCTACCAACACAAGAAGAGAGTATCAACTCAACGGGAGATCTCGTGGTACTCCGACATGGATTATAGGACAGCGATTACAAGGTCGATCATATAACATGCACAGGACAAATTGCAGACTTTTTATGGGACTGAAAAATGTAACCAAAATGCATAAGTAGTGTCTCCACTGGACAATTGGGCCCATACAACAATTTCTGACAAATCATCTCGTGAGCACGCATCACAATTGTTCATATTCCAAGAATCCACCCAACATGGTCCAGCCAGATGTTCATTGCATCGATTGAATTCATGTGTTTTTCACATGGCAATAGTCTGAGACGGTCCAGATGGCTCTCAAGAAAACATGAGCCAGCACCAAGCGGCCTTCTGGTACCACACTGACTCATCTCCATGAGATCAAATGACATCCATGCAGGAAAAAAAAAAAAGAACAGGTGAATGGGTACATATCCCACGTGTCCAAAGCTATTAATCCCCGCGGGAGAACGAACCAAATTCCAGAAAACCATTTAATGGACCTCAAGTCGTCAGACTCTCATACAATACGACCAAGACATCAGCCGAGTTTCAACAACCTAGATGGTTCCACCCTCATCAAATCGAGTACCAATTTTAGAGTGCAGCCTCAACAGATAAGGACAGAAGGGCCCCCCCATATAGATACCCGGGTGCACACGTGAAACCCCCCCACCATCAGGAGACACTATCGCCCATACGAGGACTTGGACCCCTGGTAGGATGAGCACGGCTGTTTGTATGGACAGGGAGCTCCGGATTCAAGAGTCTCCACAGATAACGGAAGAGCTCTTCTTATCTTCATATCCTCCCCCCCCCCCCCCCCCCCCCCCCCCCCC